ACTAACCAACCTTTTCAGCCAAGACGCATGTAGCTTAGCTGCCACTAGATAGCCATTGTACGCCTCCGCCGTGCTCACTACTATATCGCTACCGTTCTTTATAGCATGCTGCACAGAACCTGCTTTGAGATTTCGTTCCAAAGTTGTTCAAAAAAGCCCCATTGTTTTTGTTGTATGGGTCTTACTGAACGATTGCTCAAACTCCATAAAGACCTCACTAACAGTTTCGTCCTCTTCATTTGGTAGGCTCAGACCCTGGAAACTTCACTCGTCGGTTGATTTTTCTACCACAAACACATGTCGAGTGGGAGTTCCTATTTAAGACCGTGGTGATATTCTTGCACATAATATGCGGTACACGGGTCACCTCGAAATTCTTTCAACGATATTTTATTCTGGACGTTTGTGATTAAAAAACGAATTCTCTTGAAGTATCAACCGTATTTTTCCAGGTACTCATAGGATCTCATGCGGGTTAGATTCATGTCCAATTTGAATCAGGAGCGGGTTTGTCTTTCAGACCTTCGCATATACTTTTCCTGTCGTTTTTTCCTGGGCATCCGTAGTCAAAAGTGATGATGAAGTCCAATGAGGAAGGTAAACTGAGCAGTGAAATTGTTTCTTTTTCCGTCTTAGCTTTGACCGAAATGTGTTAACTTTTCTATCAGTCTGTTTTTTGGTACTGCAGTGACGGACCGGTGTATTTTCAGTGACTTGTCCTCCTTGTTGTCACTCCTTGTTCCCGTATTTTGCACTATAACCTTTCCCCACAGGCGATCGCTTGTGCTGAAGCTGGAGTGACGCTCATTTCCCCATTCGTTGGTCGGGTACTTGATTGGCATGTGGCAAAGCATGGGAAAGTGTCTTACGGAAGGATGGATGACCCTGGTGTTCAGCTAGTCACATCGATTTACAAGTATTACAAATCCCACGGGTACAAAACCGAGGTAAGTTGGGATTGGAGCTGCCTAATCTTCCTTATTCTTTATGTGGTGTTGCATGAAACTTGTGTAAGACGGTGAAAAGATGTCTGCATGCGAACAACGCAAAACCATTTTTCCTTTCTGGACACGACCTGTGTTCGTGCATAGGTGAATTACATCGAAGGTAGTCGGCTTTAGGAGGGGGACACACAATTGTCCGGACCCATTTCGCACATCTTACCAGGTGTACAGTAAATGTAGAGTAAAATAAGCTCACAAAACAATTAATGTATTGTTGGATAGTTTTTTATGTCATGTCTCCAATTTACTGGGGCAGCGCCAATGATAAGAAAAACTACCTATGTGCGCCAACTCGCAATTCGTGTGTGGCGATACGGATAACTTCATTAACTGTCGAATAACTGTTTGGAGCATAATTTTGAATGTCCCTTCTGTCTGGATGCACCTACGACGGGCGATTCATAGTCCGGTCACGCTACTGACCCTCCACTGGCTGGTTTCTCGTGCTTCTGTGTACTGATCTGCCAGTCGGTCTACATACCAGCATCTCTATGGCAAAGTCGTCGTTCCTTTTAGCCTTTGTTTTAATTTTGGTGGTTAGGTGTAGACTATTTACCTTGCATAGGTTTTAACCTGTGTGGGTAGTGTACTTGAAAGCGATACTAAACACTGTCTATCTAGGCTCTATGGAAGTTACCTTCTCTGTCATCATTCATGCTCTCTTTGGAATTCGTCGGTTTTTATACGGTTTGACTGTTCCGATCATATTTCTCCCGATATCACTATGTAGTTGACTAACGTATTGACATTGTTGGTACAGTAGGGAGACAGGTTTCTGGCAGTTGATGTTGCCCTTATACCTCTTCAGCGGCATAGAAAAAACGATCATAAGTAGAGGGGGCGAGATGGCCCAAGTGGTTAGAGCGCGAATTTACTGACAGGAAGTTCCGTGGTTCAAACCCGACCTCCACCTATCAACTTCCCCGGTCTAGGCTTGGGCAACCTGACAGTATCTCAGCCCTCGTGTGACCTTCGGGTGGCATAGCAGCTAAGCACCAAAAGGGTGCAACAGCTGAACGTCGTAATTAAGGATAAATAACAATAAAACAATGGAACGGAGTCAACTGTATCATGAGCCAATCAGATTGAGTTTTAATGTCCAAGGCAAAGCGATGGCTGTGTGAAGGTCTTTTGTGAGCACAAACCGGATCGGTATTGATTGATCAACGTGGCCTCATTGAGTCCACTTCTGAACGCTACACTATTGTCAGCTCTGTCCAGTGGATGTTTGGTGGTGGATCAGTCAGTGCATACCATTACTCTAATAACGATTGATATATTCTGGACACTTGTGAATAATCTCCTATCTGTTCTCCCAACACAACTGTTCTGCCACAACTGCATGTGAGTTGGTACACAACGTGTGAGACAGAGTAGTAGGGTATAATACACAGTGCGCCTCTCGGATTGGTTGGTCTTGTTGATGAGACCAGGTTTAGTTGAGCGCCTGGATACGTATGACCAAGATCAGCACGTGATTTTTTGCCTTGGTAGCAAGGACCGGCCCCCTGGCCCACCATGTGATTGTCCTTGTTCCATTGTTTTATCGCTACTACTGCCTGTTTACGATATGAAATTGATCATTTTCACTATTGTAGTTAGAGAGATGAAAGCGACCTTTTATTTATATTGCGTCATTTAAACGAATAACCTTTTAAATAAAATAAATCAAATGAATTAGAATAAAGTAAAAATAAAATTAAAAATTAAAAAAGCAGAATAAAAGTAAAATAAATAAAATTTTTAAATAAATATTTTAAATTTGCATAATTTTCACTGTGCAGTTTCTCGCTTATCGAAAGATTTTGAGAACTATTCACTTGATACTTCACCCAGTTACAAATGTGTCAATACTGAATTCCTTTAGTCTTTTTGGTGACTATGTGTGAAGGAGGAGCATGGGGTTACTAAATAACGACTGTTGGGGTATTTTGTTGTGACAAGGACTATTCAAAAGTACCTGTTATCGTTTCTCTGGTACATGGTTTTCGATTTTTCAGTTATAGAAAACGGTTTCCAACTTATTTGGGGTGCCTGAATATCATGTGCTAGAAAGTATGGGAGTTTGAGCTGAACGAGTGCTTTGCTCACGAATGCACTGATCAGCTTTTCAAGTAGAAAAACGGAACTGTTTACCCCCTTTTGTCGACCATACTTATGCAGTAGTCGTTGTGCTCTGAGATGAGTGACAGGAAAGCATCGGAATAATTTTATTGAACACTGGTGGTTCCATTAATCTTTTGGCCGATTGGACCGAATTCAGTCAGACTGAAGGCCGATCAGGTAAAGCATATTTAACCGAGCATCGTTTAACCAGAATTCTCCATGGTTGAAGAGAAAAAGGAATCGTTTCGAATGCTTAAATTACTAGTCTGCTAGAAAGCGGTTGGAGGCTATTTGTATGCTTGTGGCGTAGGTTTCGCCGACCAAGTCAAAGTGGATTGTGAAGCTGACTATTCAACATATGTTTCATCAGCAGTGAACCCCTCTCAAATTAAAATTGGACGTTGTTTGATATCTTGTGATATCAGATTCAGGATGTTGAAAGTAATCCACCACCTCTTATTAAAGTTCGTGGCTTCAGGTTCCTCCGCCTCACCGTATTTTTTGCATTCCACGAACTTTCGGAAAAAAACTTTCCACTGTCCAAACCTTAGAACATGTTTCTAGATGCATTGCCATACCAGGGGAAGTGTGTGCTCACCGCGTAGTCCGGAATTACAACAACTCATTCCTCTGAAGGTCGTATCATATGCACATCACTCTTTTCATTCTCTCAAGTCTTCACATTTGGTCAAATTTCAAGTGCACCTTCGCTCGGACTACCTATCCCCCCACCGTGACTCCGTCAAGGTACCCTTTCAATAGTCTTAGCGAGCAGTTTTTGGCCTAGTAAGCTATGTATAGCGTCAAACAAATGCGTTTTATTTCCACTTCGACCCCATTTGTTTGCTTCTCCAACGCTAGTGTGATTGTATACGCTGAAAATCCACCTCTGAATGCATAAAGATCGACTTGCTGAATAAGTGCTGAGCACCATTTTAGCCTTCCATTTGAAACGATCCAATGTACTCACTGGTCCTGGTGTTGGAATGTCGAGGCAGTACCCTTCCTCTGAGTGAAAAAAGTCCTCCTCGAATGATGTACTGCACCGGGAGATCCACAACAGTCGGCTGACGTCAGATTCTTGTGGAGTTTGGTATTTATAAACAGGTCACTCAATTTCTTTGAGAGTTTAAAATCCAGCTATCCTACAGCGGGGATTGTGCAACCCAGTAATATCCCTTCTGTGCTTGTGAAGAATCTGCGTAATTCGAGGGTGTTATGCAACATGTAGATTTCCAGTGCAATGTAAGTGCTCACGTCTATGATAGTTAGATGTTCGCCTGCCTGTCGATTTGCCGACCATTTTTTATCCAGATAGATTCCTTTGATTGATATACCCGATCATCGGTTGATTGATTTTTACTCACAAGGCAGCATTGATTTTGACCACAACGTTGATTGTCAGTTTTGAGCGTGATGCAACGGTATCCGGTCGCAAACTGGTGGTTCCGTTCCCCGTCAGACAAGCCGGATTATAACAGTGAGCGTTCAAGCGATAAACTCAGTCACGTGAGTATATCATCCATGCTGTCAGTAGTAGCTAGCTGTGCGTGATTCTGTTCCGGTCTGATCATTTTTCTCAAACTCGGCAGTTTGCCCAAGCGTAGGTATTGGAGCTGTCGTTTCGTCTCTAGTGGTGATCTGTGTTCGAGGCACCTGTTTTGTTTATTTTTACCGTGACCTTATTTGAACACATGTCCTTTACAAGAAATATTTGCATTCATTCAGTAATCGCAGTACACGAGAATTGATAACCCGCAAATTTTTCACTATATATATATATATAAACTCCCTTCTTCGCGAATCACAGATTATGGGTGCATCTTTCCGGAACGTGGAACAGATCCTCGGACTAGTTGGCTGTGATCTCTTGACAATCGCTCCGAACCTGTTGGAGGAATTATCCAAAATGACGGAGAATCCCAAGAGATGTCTCAGCGTAGATGAAGGTTAGTCGAATGGATGTCGGTTCTATGGATTATCCCACTCCCTTGCGCACACGTGGGGCGAGTATTGATTCACTGTATGGAAAAAATGATCATTTAGTGTATGAGTTGTTTGTTTACTAGTTTTCCTCCAGAGGTAGTTCACTGTTCACTTAAGCAATATACCCTTTGGGCTGTAGGCTTGCCATTACCTCCTGTAGAAGATCTCTGCAATGTCCTCATCCCGAATACATTGCCTGACGAAACGAACGTGATCGAATGTGGGCAATGGCGTCACTGGTTCTACGGAGGCCTCTAATCACCGGTCGAGCATACAGCTGCCCATCTAGGCAGATGTGTTTAATACATTTGTTTGGACCACTGACACTTAGTTTCCACGTGGTAACTTGCCCATCTATGTCCGATCCTTTTCGGACAATACTTCCACCCGGGCAATTGGTCTTCGGATATACGTAACAACGCGTAACCGAGCCGGCCTATCTGATGTAGTTGTCGAACGTCTACTGTACCCTGAATCGGCTTCCAGTCATCCATCCCGCTTTACTTTCTATCATGCTTCCTACTGGCATGTGCAACCAAAATTTACTGCAACAATCACATGATGAAACCGGTGATTTTCTAGTCCACGCATCGGCAGTGTGGAGCGGGGTATCGATATTAATCGACTTTGCCATGATGAGATTATTTTGTCCGCTATTTGCGGTCGTCGACCTTGTTCCGGTTTTCTGTACTGGGGAGTGTCCACAATATTATTACGGCATGGATCTTAGCAGACTGTAGCATAGTGGTACATTAGTGCGCGTGGAGGAATCACAACTATCATTCCAGCCTCCCCACTTACCTGGATATTTGATATATTTGGTAGTTCACTAGGGTAGATCGCATGTTCACTGCAATGGGGGCAGCTGCTAAACCGTACCAGTTTGTTGTATGAATGGATTAGTCGGAATCGTGACATCAATGCCTCCTTGGGGCAAACCGTACGAGGACGGAGCTATGATAATGTTCTGGGCTTTGGTCCGAAACAGCCCTGCCTTGGGTGGATCGATCTCCACTACGCGTTCTTACCAAACGCAGTTTCCTCGTCTGATCGCCACCTCCAATCCGGCAGTACATAGCGGTCACCCTCGTCATCATCGCTTACAACACGTTCAGTAGCCTTCACATCCCCGGTTAGTATGTTGTATAAACAAAAGTGTGCCGATCATCCACGCAGTTCACGCGTTTGGAATTCGTAGGATGATTTTTCATGACGTCACACAGTTTCGCAATCCACTAAATTGAACTTCAGTTGCAGTGGTTTCTTTGCAGGTGATCACTCACTGTGAATCGTCTTCGATCTTCATTGTAGATATTCATGAGATCTCTCCAAATTTACATCGTTAGAATAGTGCTATTCTTTCTTGCTACACGTATTCTGGTGAGTCCACACCGAACGAGAGAAACACTGGATTTCGCTGTGATTGGAATTCACCAACAGTACCCTGCTTTGAATCCGCAACATCGAACACGTGGGGCGATTGTCTTACCACTAACTTTATCATTAGTGCACGCCAGAGGCAGCTGAATTAGAAAATCTCAACAGTCGAACGTTTTCAGACTTAATCGCATGTCAAAATAAGAGGAAGACTATGCAAACGAGGCTGATACGGATCCAAAACCCTCGATATTTGCTATTTTATTTGTTTTTTTTTATTTGTCGAAATTTGTGTTGGAACAGACTGTTAGCTTTTGTGTGGAGCGACGTGAGCGCCGTATTTCACATTAAATACACGATAAGAAAGTTAAGTGGAAATTCCAGAATTTGTCCAGTTATTCGTTCGAAATTCCTCCGAAATATTGAAATCGATACAAATCCTGTTTGGGATTGTTTTAGCGTGCTTGATTCTCCACATTAATTTTGAAAGTTCTCCTATCCGAATCACACAGCCCAGCATAAAAACATACGTCCACTCCATACCTGATGTGTTGATGCCGAGTGATTTTCAGCACGCACGTAGCCAGAGGTTAACTCTAACTATTCGTTTTCTCTGCTGTATATGTCCGGAGACGAGACGGAATGTTTTGGTGGTGGATATACAAAAAAAATGATGTAAAAAGACAGTGTGTTGATGCCGAGTGATTTTCAGCACGCACGTAGCCAGAGGTTAACTCTAACTATTCGTTTTCTCTGCTGTATATGTCCGGAGACGAGACGGAATGTTTTGGTGGTGGATATACAAAAAAAATGATGTACAAAAGACAGTCTTGTGAATCAGGATTGTGTAGAGGTCCGTAAGTCCCGAAAATGCCCGTCTGCATTCAGAAGGCATGGTGCTCCTGAGACAGTCAGCCGGCGAACAACCATTTTGATTCTGTACTACTTCCTTATGAGTCCGCTTCACCAGCAGTCAGTCACTCAGCATAAACGTCTAGGACGAGGTGTCCTGGACGCTAGTATAATATCTGTCTAGAAAAGCTATTGAGTGCATGTCAGACAAGCGAAGCATGTAACGAGCACAACGGCAACTTACGTGATCGATAGAAATCACCGGATCGACCCTACAGAGTCGTTAAGCCTGATGTATCGAGTGTTACGAAATCTGAGGCCGTTAGGCAAAGCTCACGCGCAACAGCAGAAACGGTCGCCATTCGGCTACATTAACCACTTTTGTTTCATCGAAAGACCTCACGCGAAAGTCTCAACTCTGCTTGATCGACCAATCACGATTCCCAATTGACCCCGATTGAGTGACTTAAATACACTCACATACTCCTGAACTGCTTCCATTCAGATACTTCAACTATCTGTTCTATTCATAACGCTATTCGCCAGTGCGGATTTTGCTCGCAGTAACCCGTGTTATGCAATAACGTGAGACTACTCAGTCATCTTAATAAGTTTCTAGTGTGTGGCTCATAATTTAAGTAGTTCTCCGTCCGTGTGCACGTTAGTTTGACCGTCATGTTCAATACCAGGCTGCAGTTGATATTTGTGGGTAGCATTCCGTCGATTTTGCTCCATTATTTTTTTCTGCAGTACTTGCTTCCACTGGAACTGGATGCACATTGCCTCGTCCAGCGCCGATCAGCGAGGCCGAATTCCGTTGGCAACTAAATCAGGACGAAATGGCCTCGGACAAACTGTCGGACGGAGTGAGGCGTTTTGCAAAAGACGCTGAAACCTTACGCGAACTGCTCAAAGCGAAAATTCTTGGAAACTAGATTAGAGTCGCATTGCTCGTCTTCGCCTTAAGCAATTCCTGGTCGCTTTTTTATACCTCTCTGTTTTTTTTTTGTATCTGCTTAGTGAATTGGCAAAGGATTCAACTTCCTCCTTTTCTGCTATAATCTCAGTCGTCTTCATTGCGTAACATTCCACCATCTGGATTTTTTGAGATTCCCTCTATCTAGACAGTTTTTTTGCCAAGTTTCGTCTGACCAAGAATAAATCTTGTGTTTGAGTTCTCGTCTTTATCTGCATATCGATTCAGTACGTAGTCAGACCTTAGAGGGCAATTTACGAGGAAGGATTGTTCCATTGGATTGTGAAACTTCCCTCTGAGAAGTCATCACTCGAGGAGGCAGTCAATACGTGACCACGTGATATGGTTTTCGTTACTGAATGATAATTGGTGCTATGTTTTGTCTTTGCGAGAGCCCATCACATTGCTGAACAGGCACCCGTGGCCAAACAGCTGGGTATTCAACCACTGGCCGGATGGTTGCGTATTCGAAACTCAGTTTATTGAGGTGCGCACTGCTGATGATTCCAAGCAAGCATGAAACCTCTGAACAGTGTTTCTCGCATTTTCAGCATAGGTCGGCTTCAATGACAGAACAAAATCTCCTCAACTTACTATAATCTATGAATGAGTCAACTGTTGTCTTTGCGGAGCCTACTGGGGCTTCGTTTTTCATCGGGGCGAGTGGACTTGTTGGTATAGCTATAGGCAGTTCACACTCACATCCCTGTCGTTTGAACAACGCCGGTTCATCCTAAAGGTGGACATGGGCCTACTACATCACCATGGCAAGCAGACGTGCCACAATAGGTATCAGACTTCCTAACGCGGTTGCCAAATATTGTTCACTGGATGTCTGCTACGCTTTGACCACTAGACTTCGGTATTAGGGTTATCCTCATTATAAGACGTTGCTCCTCCAAAGTCATTCGAGTTGACGTCATGTTCAACTGCGTGAAACAAATGGTCATTCCTTTTATGTTGTAAGCGATACCTGAAGACTTCTGCGATGACTGCAGTGAATGTCCTCTGTGTCTTGCTGGCGTCCTGACAAGTTCCCGCAGCCCTACGGACACAATCAAAGGGGATATTTCAGATGTAGGAATGTCAAACAATATGGATAATGAGGACTCAGTGTAAGCAATGAAGAAGGGCCATTGAATTCATTGCAAGTTCTTTCTCCGAGAAGCGAGACATAAACTCGGTCGTTCAACTGATCTGTGCAGAAATACTACGCCAAATATGTCAGAAACTGGTTCATCACCTGCATTCGAGTTCAAGATATCCGACTCTGGATTCAAGTAGCGAGAATTTAGTAATTAGCTGAGGCCAAGTAAGTAAGTAAGTTTTCAATCAATTGGAAAACGTTTTGAACCGATTGAGAAGTCATTGTTTCAGAAGAGCTTGGTAAACAATCGGTAGTTTTTATTTGGGCAACGTTTCGCTTTTGACACAAAAGCCTCATCAGGCCAAGTGAACAGGTCACCAAATTGACCAGGTTATAAGACACTAATCATTAAGTTTTTTCAGATTATCACACTAGATCAGTGTTTAGTATCAATTAACGGCTCTTGCGGCCCAGTGTGGTTGCGAAAATCTTGAATTGATGGGTTGGAGGAGTTTCAAATTGGTTCCGATCGCTTTTTATTCCTTAATCTTCCACTTCAGGGTGCTTCACCTAGGTTGCCACTGGCAGATTTTTCTTGATCTTCGTAGGCATGTGAATGTTGCGACAATTAGGTTGGGGGAGTACAGATGCGTAAGGTTAAGTGGAATCCAGATGATGGCTACTCTTCCCTCTGATAATCGCACACCAACACGTGCCAGCTCGATTGACCCAAGACCGTTCTCCACGCGCTTGCAAATTCCACGCCTCCTATTCTGTTAACAATTGGGTGCTTGGCGACTTCTACCGCCTCGGCTATCAGTCTCTGTGACGTGGACCGTGGTCCTCGCCTGAAAACGTCAACATTTTCTAAATCTATTTTGTGCCCGTGTCCAGTGCGTGATCCGCAGTCGCCGAGTTTTTTTAGTAACGCTTGATATTCATCCGCGTTTCTCGGCGGCCTGTTTTATTTTCTACTATGCTCTCCGATTCTGATGTGAAGTCCCTTGGCCGTCTGTCCTATATAGACAGTCGTGACACTGAAATTTGTAGGCACAGTTCCTGA